CATGTCTGAGAGGCAGCTGTGTGGCAGGGGTAGGCGAGAAGTGAGCTGTTCCGGGCCTGGCTGCTCCAGGCCTGGCCTCTGTTGCTCTGGTTCATTCCACAACCAGCTGCTCTGGGTCTGGTCATTGCTGCTCCCGACCTAGTTGCTCTGGACTTGGCTGCTGCTGCTCCGGGCCTGGCTGCATCCGACCCGGTTGCTCCGGGCCCAGCTGCTCCAGGCCTGGCCGCTCCCAGCCTGGCAGCCGCTGCTCCGGGCCTGGCCGCACACGACCCGGCTGCTCCGGGCCTGGCAGCTCCCAGCCTGGAAGCTGCTGCTCCGGGCCTGGCTGCACCAGACCTGGCTGCTTCGGGCCTGGCTGCTAAGGGCAGAGGTTTCATCTTCCTAATGAGAGAGTTCATCCCTTCTAGCTCTGCTTCTGTGACTCTATGAGGCCAGAAGTCATTCCAGAAAGTCTGACTGTGTTCTTGCCCTCCCTCTTTACTGTCCCTTGCTTTAGGGTATGGTGATGTGGCTGCAAGCTATTTGAATAGATTGGATAGGTTGAAAAGAGGAAAGAAATAAACCACAATTATTTTTTCCTGGAATGGTTGTGGGCAAAGATATTATCCCACTTCACTTCCTCCTTCAGTCTCAGACCTAAGAACCTCAAAAAAGGGAAAAGGCAGTGACACAATTGGGTGGAAGAACTTAGGAGAGGCAGGAATTCTGGTAGATAGTGGTAAAGGCTGTGTAGCTGATAGCAGGAGGAGCTGAGTTAGGCAGCTCTCCTTGCTGCACAGATGTAACTTGAAAGTTCCCCAATGGAAAAAAGATTGGGAGAACCAAGATGGCAGGTAAACGCCGTACTCACTGCCTCCCACCACCACATCAAAATTACAACTAATATACAGAACAAGATAGTGAAAACCTACTTGAAGAAATAATGATAGAAAGCTTCCTCCACCTGGTGAAAGAAATAGACTTACAAGTCCAGGAATCGCAAAGAACCCCAAATAAGAGAAACCCAAAGAGGCCCACACCAAGACACATAATTAAAATGCAAAGGGTTAAAGACAAAGAGAGAATCTTAAAAGCAGCAAGAAAAAAGCAGTTAGTTACCTACAAAGGAGCACCCATATATCCTTCAGTTGGTTTCTCAACAGAAACTTTGCAGGCCAGAAGGGAGTGGCAAGAAATATTCAGTGATGAAAAGCAGGAACCTACAACAAAGATTACTTTACCCAGCAGAGCTATCTTTTAGATTTGAAGGTCAGATAAAGAGTTTCCCAGAGAAGGAAAAGCTAAAGGAGTTCATTACCACCAAGCCAAAATTACAGGAAATATTGAAGGGTATTCTTTTTTTTTTAATTATATTTTATTGATTGGCCAATACAAAGGATGTTTTTCTGAGATAGTGCCCAGCACTCAACATTAAATAGACCCCATTAGGTAGGGAGGACAAGTAGAGGAGTTGGGCAACAGACAACCTTTGATTTCTAGCTTTTGTATGAAAGACTGATTTTTTTGCCTTTATCGGTTAAACAGTCATTCAAAAACCTGGCCGGTATGATTCAGTTGGTTGGAGCATCATCCTATACACCATAAAGTGGCAGGTTTGATTTCAGGTCAGGGCATGTAGTCAAGTTGTGAGTTTGATCCCTAGTTGGGGTGCATGTGGGAGGCAACCAATCTATGCTACATTTCTCATATCAATGTGTTCTCTCTCTCTCTCTCTCTCTCTCCCTCCCTCCCTCCCTCCCTCCCTCTCTCTAAAAAAAACAAAAACCTGTATTGAGTACCAAGATTAATAAACTCAGCCTCTGCTCCCACTATAGTTATTATTTAAAAGCTGCTATTCCAAAATTAGTCATAGACATTTCATTTAAAATTAGATATCATTTCTTTCCCAGAAGATAAGGAGTCTTAAATGACTTCTGATCATGTGGGTAGGGGCAGAGTTTTCTGAGAAATGGATTGTGGATAACGAAAATGCTTTAAAGGAAATGTAATGCAGGGAGAAGATGAGAGAAAATTGGGGGAGGGAAGATAGAGAGAAAGAGGGACATCCTCTGAAAACCTCAACAGTGAAGTCTTTTCCTCCTCCTCCCACCCCCATCATGTGGAACAAGGGAACATGTTAGCTGAGAAAGCAACTACTTCAAGTTCCTGGATGTCTGCTGTGTTGGGGTACCCACCTAAACTGACATTAATAAACCCACATCCCTCACCCCCTATGCATTTGCCTAGAGAGTGGGGTTTGGAAGTGGTGAGGGGGGAATAAAAGCAAATAGGATCATGGACTAGCAAGTGAACCTCCAGCCAGAGATACCAGACCAAAAATGCTGACTTCTATCTCAAGGGGGATAAAGAACAATCCACTACTGAGGACAGAATGGCAGGATCCTGTCACATGTATTATAGAAACTGTGAGGCCAGGTTTCACCTGTCCAGTCCCAAGGGGAGACTTTCTCACCGACTCAATGGGCCATTGGGCCAGCTGATGCCTCAACAAAATTTTCATAAGATGGGCTGCCCTGAAAATAGCAACTGAACACAGACCTACTCCTTACATCCTTGCTCTCTCTCTCTCTCTCTCTCTCTCTCTCTCTCTTTTCTCTCTCTCTGCCCTGATTTTCACAAGGACAAAGAACATGAAGCTGGAGCCACTCTACCCGTTCATCTACAGCCTATTTGGACTAGTGAGTTTCTAGCCAAGCTTCCTAAGCAAACAAAACAGGTTTCAAAACACTGGTCAGGGGAAGGAAGCCACCAGAAGGGAGGAGAAAGAAAAGGAAGCTCAGCCGAAACCGGTTTGGATCAGTGGATAGAGCGTCGGTCTGTGGACTGAAAGGTCCCAGGTTCGATTCCGGTCAAGGGCATGTACATTGGTTGCAGACACATCCCCGGTGGGGGGTGTGCAAGAGGCAGTTGGTCGATGTATCTCTCTCAGCGATGTTTCTAGCTCTCTATCCCTCTCCCTTCCTCTCTGTAAAGAATCAATAAAATATATATATATATATATTTTAAAAATCAATAAAATATTTTTAAAAAGAAAAGGAAGCTCAGTCTCTCTCTCCTCTGTGGAGCCTCCTTCACTCGCCCGTGAACATCACCTCTCCCAGTAACCATTGCATTTCCACTGTGCATTAGTCACCTTTGAGGTCTCGAGGAAACGTTGTTCTTACTATTGAAGGGCTCACATTCTGGTTGAGAAGGAAAACGTCCAAACGTGTAGGACCCTAAGAGTGCATAGTGCTGAGAGAAAAGTTGGTACAAGGCACAGGTGAGGATTCCAAAAGTCTGTCAACAAGGTGGGAACGGGAAGGAAGACTTCATTTGAAAAGTGAGTTTTCAGTGTTCCAAGATAAATGGTGCTTTCATATTAAAGAGAACAGCAAGAACACAGGCACTAAGGGTGAACATCATGGTACTGCTCTGGAAATGGCTGGAAAATCAGAATCAAAGTGGCAAGTGAGTCAGGAAAAGGGAAAAGGACAGAAACATGGGAACATGTGCATATCCTGTAAGTTGATTTGACTTCAGCAATAGCTCTAGAGTAGGGGTGTCGAACTCAATCAGAGAAGGGGCCAAAATCTAAAATCCAGCCTAAATTGCGGGCCGAATGGTTTACTGAACAGTCATAAACTGTCATTGTGATAGAAACGCAGCGGAGTGCAGTGATGACAGCGCGGTGCGGGCCATATTGCAAGGCCTGGCGGGACGGATTTGGCCTGCGGGCCTTGTGTTTGACACATGTGCTCTAGAGAGAGAAGAGGAGGCCCGGTTTAGACAGAGTGAGAAGTGCCAGTAAATCAGAGTTGAGAAGGCCCACCTGCTCCAAATGAGAGCTAGGATGAGGGGGAGAAGGGAAAAGGACCCTGAGGTTCTTGGCTTGAATGGCAGGGAGGATAGGTGTTGACAGGCAACGTTAGAGGAAGAATGCATCTCCCACATCTTTCCTTTTGCCATACTCTACCTAGCACATGCCTTCATCCGTCTCTCACTTTGGGGACTGTGACAAGTGGGTAACTTCTTGATATTTGTCTTTACTTCCCCCTTGCTTTGGAGGTTTATGGTTTGCCAAAGCAGAAGGAACTTGCCTGCAGGCCCTTTCCATGATGACATTAAGTCACTGAGCTGTCTATGGTTCATGTGAGAGGCCTGGAAGGTAGGAGAAGGAAGGAGAACCGCAAGAGGCACAAGGAGACTAAGAAAAAGAGACAATCGTTTCGTAAGCCCTGAGCTGGGAGCCTACACTCTCAGCTGAGGAGTCTCAGAGGGAATAGCTGTAAGCCTGCAGGAGGCTCCCAGAATCACCAAAGACTTTTTTTTAGCCCAAGACTGACATTGCAAAGGGTTTGGAAACAGGAGAGTGCCTCCGCAGAATACACTGTCTTCCAGAGATACTTCCCTAGCCCCTCAAGCTGTCTTAGAATTAGACAAGGGCTGAACCAAGGTCAGTTTCTTGACTGCCCTGTGGAATGGGAAGCTGGGGCTGAGGGGACTAGGCCAATGCAAATAACAAAGCAATGTTCTCTTTTTCCTGCATACTTTCCACTATCTGGGCAGATCCTGGATCTCATTCATCACCGAGGTGCCAGCACTCAGCCCGCAAGGACCTGCTGCAGGAGAGACAGATGGAGGAAGGGGGCGGCGAGCACGTTCTTTCCATCAGACTAATGGGAACACCTGTGCCCTGGGGGCTGGCAGACTGGATGCTAGGAAGCAGATGGCGTTCCAAGGTTTCACTTTAAAAAAATGCTTACAGGACATGCGAAAAGTACTAAAGATTAAGCGAGAGGATCCAGTCGCGGCAGCTACTCCGCCCGTGGGATTTCCCCAGCGGGGCGAGACGGGACGGAGACCAGCCCAGCAGCAGCACGGCGCCTGCGCACTGCAGACCCTGAGGCCCGGGCGTCCTCGGCGCGGAGGTGGGCGGGGGATGCCGGGGCATCCGGGTCCCTCACCCCGCCCCGCCGCTTGAATGAGAGGCGCGGCGCCCGCCCCTCCCCCGCCGGGCCCGCCCCTCGCCCGGGCCGCCCCGCGCAGTCCGCCGCCGCCGCCACCTCAGCTGCACTAGGTCCGGCCCGCCGCTCTCCACCCACAGCCCCGCCGCTCGGCTCTGACGGTCCCGCACGCCCGCCGCTGCCTCCGCCGGCGCTCCCGAGTGAGTGAACGGGCGGGGGCCGGGCGCCGAGCGAGCGAGGCCCGTCGCCCCCGGGCTGGGGGCGTAGGGGGCCGGGCGGGTCCGGGTTCGGGATGCTGAGGGGACCGCGGGCCCGCGCCCCCGCGCCAGCCTCCCACACACACACACACTCCGTCCGTCCGTCCGTCCGCTCCGGAGGGGGGCGGGGAGGAGCGGGATGGCGGCCCCGGCGGCGCGGGACGCGGAGGAGGGTCCGCCCGCCCGGGGTCGGCGGGGGAGCCCGGCACAAAAGGGCGGCGCGCGCGGGCTGTCACCGGGAGGCCCCCGCGGGGAGGTCCGTGTCGCCCCGCACGCTCCGCACGCCGGAGCCCGGCGCGGCCCCCGGGAGCGGGAGGCGGCGGGGATGTGCGGGAGGCGGGGATGGCGAGCGCCGCTGCCGCCTCCGTCCGCGCTGGCCGGCTGTGGGAGCGCGCCCCGGGGAGCCCGGCGTGGCAGTGTTTTCCTGGTCCCCGGCCGCTCCTCCCCTTTCTTTGTGGCGTTTTGTCTTGTGGTCGTTTGTCGCCGTGTGTTAGCCGCGGTCTGAGGTGCGAGCTCTCGCCTCGGCTTTCTCAGTCAGAGTCAGGGGGCGGCCTCCGGCTGTGGGTGGGGAGCGCGGGTGCTCGCACACGCCGGAGCGTGAAGGACCCTTCTTTGTTTGCAGAAACCTAATGGTGTGTGTGTGTGTGCCCTATGAAATGAATCCGAGATCATTAAAAAGGATCTGGGGGAGGGGGGGGGAGACTTATTCCTTCATCAGACTTTTACCCAATTCTGTCCCTCATGTTCTTGCAAACAGCATTTTGTTTGTTTCTTCCTGCAAAACCAGTGGGTTTCGTTAACAGTAATTGAAAGTGTATGTCTCTATTCTCCTGGATCTCTATGCTAGTCATATCTAGAGGACACTTTTGTTTGGAGGGTTTTAGTTCATGGCCAAACACAACTGTGTTTGTGCAGGGGAATGCTCCAGTCCATACAGGTTTAGTTCGTTCGCACTGTGTCCCTGTACTCATCCTGTACATGGATGCAGAAGTACTCCAGTGTATGCAGGACCCTGTTTTCTCAGCTCCTCGGCACGGGAAGATTTTGTTTCTTCCTGCCCTGTATTGACGAGAAGGTGGCCCAGCAGGTTCTGTCCACCTTGGCTTTTGTTCTTAATGCTTTGGCACCCGGTTTTATTGCATATTACCCTGGCATGTGCCCTTGCTTTGATCTGGATTTTCTTGTGTTCTGGCTGTCTGGTTGTGCAGCCCAGCTCAATGGCTCCTCTTACCGGACTACTGGGAAACAGAGCACCTTTTATCATTGTCCTCCTCCCCGGAGAGGGAGGGAAACTCCAGGTTCCCACAGACTTTGACTTGGTCAGTGAGACGAACTGCCTGACTTTCTTGTCTTCCTGAAGTTAGAAGACCACAAGTTTCAGGTTGATGCAGACCATTTAAAAGGAAGCAGTTCTAATAGCGCCAGCTATTCCTTGCTATTTCCTTTGGACTTTTTTTTTTCTTCTCTTTTTAGGCCAGGTTTTATAAGCTTTAGAAAATAGTTGGTTGCATTAGTTTTTAAAATATTTTTTATAATTGAGTTTTACCCTTATAATTTTGCAAAATGATGGGAAATTAGTTAAAGTTGGTTGTAAGAAACACACCTCCAAAATATATTTTTATGATGACCTTCGATTCAAAATAGTGATGGTGAAAATATTTAGAAGGGCTTACTGGATGTTATGAGTACTTGAATAGGTTCAGTTTTAAGATTCTCTTGAAGATTCTTTTTTAATCACGCGTATTTTAATTTGTGGTAGTTTTCAGTACAAAATAAAATGTAAATTAAGCAATCTTCCACCGCATTGTTTATTCCGTCTATTAATATTAAAAACATTTGCTTTTAATTTGAAGGGGAAGTTTTCCATCAGTTGTATTGGGATCCATTATTCTTGGTAAATTTCTTATGTTAGTATGGTCAAATTCTTTTTTTGTAACTGTTAAAATTAGTAAAAGTTGACTTTTCAATTTGGAGTTTTGGTTTTATGAAATAAAATTTTAATATCAATGAATTTTACTCAAAATAAGTTACCTTAAAAACAAGGGCTTTGTTAATTTCCTTAACTAGTATCACTAATATTGAAGCAACTCCAATAATTTTATAAACTGCCCACATTCAATATATATATATATATATATATATAAAATTTTTTTTAAGGAATCCCCTTAAAACAAACTATAAGGGGAAGTCCTAGATAAACAAAGTAGTATAACCGGAATTGTCACTGAAACTGGCTTGCATAGTACCACAATATTGTGGAACTTTAATTTTGCAAGAGTGACTTAGCTATTGTTTGAATCAACAAAGGAACCTAAAAACATCCTGATCTTGTTCAGCATTCTGTTAACTAAATCTTTACCAAACCATAGTTGAGCATTTCCTATAGTATGATGATTAAAAAAATAATTCTAAAGTAATTTCTGTATCATCAAAGTAGATTAAATTATGTTAAGTGCTGTTTTAGTAGTAAATATATTTTTTATATTCATTAGAAATATCAATATTGTTATGTCAGTGATAATAATAGCAAGTATGGTGACAGTTACCCAAAACTGGGTACATTATCCTCCCACCAATGTCTGATAATAAAAAGTAGAATATTTTTTTCTGTTGAGCATTTTTTTAGATTGGGGAGTAGTAAAAAATCAGCAATTTTATATGGTTCAACCACTTTCAACTCTCAGCAATTCCTTCTGGTATTTACCTTTATTTCTATTTCATTTTTAATGTTTAAACTGATAGTTCTTTATTTTTCACCTTTGGATATTTGGATAGTACCTCTTTTAGAAGTCTTTCCACCCCCTACTCATACTTAAGCTTTACAGTTCCCAGTTAAGTCAGTTTTCAGTATTTATATGACTGTGACAATGTACCTGTTATTTACAGATGAGCCAGGTAGGGTCTAAGATTACATTTTCTTTCTTGAATAACTTTTGTTTCTCCTGAATTACATAATTACCTCTTTTGTTTGTTTTTCATTTGCTTAATTTTCTATATAGCAGTTACAAATTCATCCTAAAATTCTATGACAGAATAGTCCTTCAATATTTTCAAATAATCTGTTTCATTCTTTTTTCTAGCTGTCATCTGAGACTTTCCTTCGTTATCATTTTGGGAATTCCCTTTGCCTTCTTCCTGTGTTAGGTCCTTTATTCCTGAATCCTGTGTCTCCTTCCTTCTTTAGTAGCTTCCGGAGAAAGGGCACATACAAACTCTGAAATACCTTCCTAAATTCAGCAGTTGCATGTCTGGAAATGTCATTTTACCCTCACACTTGAATAGTGGTTTAACTGGATATTGAATTCTAGATTGAAAATTAGTGTCCCTCTTTTGAAAGCATTGTTCCATTAGCTTCCAGTATTGCTCTTTTTTTAAAACCCTCACCTGAGGATATTTTTTCATTGATTTTTAGAGAGAGTGGAAGAGAGAGGAAAAGACAGAAAAATGTCAGTGTGAGAGAAACACATTGATTGGTTGCCTCCTGCATGGCCCTGACCAGGGCCCAGGCCAGGGGAGGAGCCTGCAACCAAGGTACATGCCCTTGACCAGAATCAAACCTGAGACCCTTAAGTGTCTACACTCTATCCACTGAACCAACCAGCCAGGGCTAGTATTGCTCTTGAGAAGTCCAATGCCATTTTAATCCCCATTTCCTTTTTCCTCTCTCTCTGTTTGTTTATCCCTGGAATTCTGACATTTCATGGTGTTTCTGAAAACATTTTTTTGCCATGGGGCAGATAACGTTTTTTCCCAAATGACTATATGATATATATATCTATGTAAACACATTCACATGTCCCATCTCATCCAACATACTATTCTTTATGGTGTTGACATGCCTCCATCAAAAGGTAGGGTCTTTGTTGCCTCTCTTTGAACATGTGTAGACATAAATGCTCTCCAGAATGTTAGGTCTTAAAACAAAATCATAATTTAAGGGCACAGCAAAATGGTCAAGAGCATGCGCCTTGTGTGTGTGTGTGTAGGAGGTAGGGGATATCTTTTTTTTTTCTTTCTTTTTTTACTTTTAAATGGAATCATCACTAAAAATGTCAACAACAGAGAAAATTTCTTCAAGCAGTGAAATGCAGTCACCTTTGGAATCAACACAAAGACTACCAGGTTCATTTTTAAAAATCTACTGTAGGGAGTGGCAAAACCATTCATGGCCAAAAAAGAAACACTCTTTAAGCTTCACAATTAAATATGTCACGACTAATTATGACATGTATTATTTGCTAGAATTTCTGTGATGAGAAGATAGACAAATGGAACTATGTAGACTATGGCTTGATTGGACATTGTCAATGACTTTGTGTTTATCTGATAGATTAAAAAAAAATTTATTGATTAAGATATTACATATGTGTCCTTATTCCCTCATTACCCTTCCATCTCCCCCCATTCATGTCTTCAACCCCTTGTTGTCTGTGTCCATTGGACAAGATTCCTAATAAGATATTTTTGCCAATGACTATTTAATAATTTCTTCTCTTGAAACTCATGCACAGCCCACCCCTTTCCATACTGATAAGCAGGCCTCATACTTCAGTGAGGGTTTAGAAGTTATCAGACAGATACCCTCATCTTTTCATCACTAAATCTAGAAATTTACCTTCCTTAACACTCATGTTTTCTGTTTTTATCAGAGGCTTTTCATCACTAAATCTAGAAATTTACCTTCCTTAACACTCATGTTTTCTGTTTTTATCAGAGGCTAACTTCCCTCCAACTGTATTTCTTCATAGCTACTCAAGGACTTGACTGCTGTATTTTCGCCCTTTCTAGCATTAGCAACTTTCCAGGGTACGATTCATAACATACACACATGCTCTGCTATTGCCCCTCTTTTAAAGCAGAAGAAAAAATTACAACAAACAACTTTTCTCTGACCTCCCATTCATCTCCTTCAGTTTACTTTCATGGTTATATGTCTCAAAAGA